GCAAAAAAAGTCATAAAAAGTCATAGTATAGTAAGGTACAAAACGTCATAGTACAGTAAGGCAAAAAAAGTCATAAAAAATCAGTAAGGCATAAAACGTCATAGTATAACAAGGCCAACATTGTCATAAAAACGTCATTGTATGTAAGGCATGAATTGTCATATTATAATAAGTTATAAAAAGTTGTATGGCATAAGACGTCATAATTAAGGCATGAAAATGTCAAAAAAACGTCATAGAAATAGAAAGACATAAAAACTTCAAAAGACGTCATAGTATAGGAAGGCATGAAAAGGTCAAAAACTGTCAAAGTACAGTAAGGACTACAAATGTAAAAAAAAGTGTCATAGTATAGTAAGGCATAAAAACGTCAAAAAACTTATCTAACGCATGTAATCCTCCATTTTATGTTCACTCCTGCTAGCAACATGACTGCTAGCCTATAGAAGAAGCCAGGGATAGCTTGCTAGTTATCGCTAGCTAACGTTGTTTAATAATATCAGTTGACATTTTTCTTTTGATGTTAGGTACCACTATGCTATTTTCATATGATGTGAGCCTTCAGATACCCCCCGCCCTTTCAGTCAATCAAATGTCAGCATGCCCAAATTGGTTGTCTTGGAGGCATAGCCTCTTGTTGGGCACATTTCAATGATCTAATATTATCTAAACATAGTGCAAACGAGTTCACTCAAATATTGGTAAGGGCAATTCTGTCCACCAAAAATATTGGTAGAAATATGTCCCAACCATCCATATGCAAACCTACTCCCTTGATTTTAGTAATTCTCTTTGTCTCTGTGTGCGTGTTTTTTTTTGTGGGTCTTTTTGTTGTCAGCATGGCATCTTCAAAGTGATGTCCCACTTCTTATTTACATTGGAATGTAATGTAATGATCTCCCGGAGATTATTCAGCTAGTCAGATACCGCACGCTGCTGTCAGTGTGCATCTGTGTGTGCATCCTCTGCTGAGAGCAGAAGAGGCAAATAGGAGCGTTTGGTCAGAGGATAACAATCACTGTGTGCAAGGCTCAGTGAGCCAGCTCAATAAGTAAATTCAACTGGACAAATTAGCTGAAGCTGGACTTACACAGAAACAGTCCCCACTTTGTATGAATTAATTCATATTTTTTCTTCTTGTGAAGATCCAGGAAATCATTATTCAATTATGTTATTTGTGTTTTGGTTTTTTTTACTCTCAAGTGACCAAAACCAAACCCAGGTGTGGGGAGACAGAAAGAGACACTGGAGAGATTCACTGATTTCACTGGTAAAGATTTATTGTACAATTCTGTCAGGAAAAAGACAAGGCGGCAGTGTCAGACATGCAAAAGGTGCAACAGGCAAATACACAACCCATAAGAATACCAGTTTAATTGTCAATAAAATACAGCATTCATTTGTTTGCAGTATTAATTCATAGTAATATAAAAACAAGGGAAGAAGAAAGGTCATTCAGTGTTTCACTAGTCTTCCCAGACATGATTTAAGGGTTACAGTAGCGCTTGTAAAAAATAAATATTGACCTCATATCAAAAATCAAACATAAAATCAAATGTAATTTAGCAACATCCTACAGTACAAAGTAAACAAATAATCCTATCTTTCCTATTATTCTTTATACAAGGTGGATATTAATGCTCAAAAATGCTTTTATACATTCAGAAACTTTACTAGTCAATCATATTCACATACACTGTGTGTGACTGTTGAAATACACAGCAGTGTCCATCCTGATATCTACTCTCTAAACTGTAAATATAATCTCATTGTGCTTTAAAGCAGTGCTCACTATTATCCAGTCTGAGACGAACGAACAAACAGAACCATGAGATAGATAGATAGATAGATAGATAGATAGATAGATGCTACAATATACACTATATCCTCCAGTCTATTTACACAGCTGCCTACAAATATATTTCATTAAGAGGAAAGTACGCTAAAACAATTGCTTGTTTGGCTCAAGATGTTGGCCCCAGAGGTTTGGAAACTAGGCCTACATGGCAGCTTGACAGCAGACATTCATGTGATCACACATTAAGAAATCAACAATGTGCACGAAAAAAGTAAAGTCAGCTTCGTGGTATAAGTCGAGTGTATGGGAGAGGACTTAGAACTTCACTTAAGGGTGGCTTTAGATTTAACATTTGCTTACCAGCAGTCAAATAATACGTGTGTGTATAATGCAGGTTTGCTGGCTAAACTATACTAATCTGTGAGTAACAGTTTGGCTCTAAACCTCACACAAGATCAAACAAGATGAGTCTTCAGCCATGCACACAGCTCTGTGAGGCTGGACTTTGGCACAGCAATGGTATAAAGCTAAATTTTCATGTCATCATTCAATAGCCAAGCATTTCACCCAAAATCACAAATGTCAACTTCATGGGAGTGCTTTAGGAAAAGTCAGGGGATCATTAAAGTCGGTAAGATTCATCCTCTCGGGATAACACTGCCTAGAGCCAAGCTGCTAGCGAGGCTAAAAATGTTACACTTATTGCAGTCATTGTGGGGAAATCCCCTGATTTTGGGATTCATAGCCAGCTGTGTATGTAGGTCATTAATGTACGAAAAAAAGGAGGAAAGACAGAATCATGTGACAGAGAGGCGTGATGTAAATAATATTTTGTGTAAGCAGATGCAGGTCAGCTCTGCTGTGTAGGGGTTGGAGGGGAGCACAGCTAAAAGTACAAACATTGGTAACCTGACACAGCAGGAAAGCCAGTGTTATGACTGTACAAAGCTAGCAGGGTTTTAGCTGTAGGACAAGCTAAGACCAAAGACAAAATGCTTGTCTGTCACATGAGTTAAGATTAAGACCACCTTAGGTATTTTTCAAAATATTCCCAACATTGCATTTCATGTATTTATCCAAAACCAGGAGCATTTGATACCATAAAGCAGAGATATGCATTCACATGTGGGCAGACACACACCTCAGATGTGGATCCAGATAAAGATCAAAATCAGACATCGAACAAAATAATTGATTTGCCATGGCCGACCGTGAACGTTTGTCTGGTGCAGGCAGCTAAGATTCTAACTGGGTCAAGACATGTTTGTCATCAGCATTGTGGTTAGTGAGTAACATAAAGGAGTTACAGTGCTCCACATAGGTATTTGCTATTGGCTTATTTTCTTAGGTGGAATGTTGTGTAGATGTGAGTTACTGGAGAGGAAATCAGGATCAGGAGATCTGAGGAAAAACTGTAATTTTTAACAGTCAGACACTCACTTTTACATCATCTAAAGACCGCAAAAAAAACAAGCTTTTAAACTTTAAACTTTGGAAAAGGCCTGTTATAAAATGAGAGATAACTTCAGTTTCTTGGCTGTCTAAACTAAACCTTTCACTGAATTGTCTTAAATCAACATGACTGAACTGGCACAGTTGCTAATACCACAAGGAAACCACTAATTTACCTCAGTGTTTTCTCAGAAATCTGTGGTCTAAACTCCACTATTAAGCAACAATTGAGCTGACAGGCCTCCTCGTAAAAAACATGGAGTGAATTGTTGCAGACATTTCTTGTTCGGGAAAGCCAGAAATAGACCAGTCCATATAGAACTGAGATTACAAAAGAACAGAAATCTGACCACTGCACGGACTCTTAAGGGGGTTGTCTCATAAGTCACTTGAGTAGAAAGAGAATTGGTTCAAAATATTTTCTTTGAACATGTGTTAGATTAAACATTTCTGATTCCAAAGTAATTCTTGAGCTGTTGCCTACTGGCTTTAGGGGGGGGGGAAGTTTTGTTAGTGATGAAAATTGCAGTATAAGTGAAAAATACAGAAAATACACATTACAAAATTATTTTAAAAACACTTAATTGAATATGTACAACCATATTACACATGAAGACAATATGTGTATTAAAGGAATAGTTCAATATTTTAGGATTGAATTTGAATTTGCTTTCTTGCCATGAGTTAGATGAGAAGATTGTTATCACTCTCTAGACAGTACGGTAAATATGAAGCTACAGCCAGAAACTGGTTAGCATAGCTTAGCATGAAGACTGGAAACAGGGAAACAGCTAGCCTGGCTCTGTCCAAAGGTTGAGAAGTTATGGTTCAACCCCCTATGAAACTACACTACTTTTGTACAGATTAAACAAACAAAGTATAAGTTAGTGAGCTTTAGAGGTGCTGGTAGGTGGATATTTTTGCCTTTGGACAGGGCCAGGCAAGGTGTTTCCCCCTGCTTCCAGTCTTTATGCTAAGCTAAGCTAACAGCTGCTTACTGTAGCTTCATTATTAAGCTTAAAGACGAGAGTGGCATCGACTTTCTCATCTAACACTTGGCAAGAAAGTGAATGAGCATATCACATCATACTCACTTTCTCTCTCTCTCTCTCTCTCTTTCTCTCTCTCTCTCTCTCTCACACACACGCACACACACACACACACACACACACGAACACAAACACACAAAATTCCAGTATCGAATGCCCTCCCCATCTGCTGTCCATTAGGCTCCTCTTCATCCTTCCTGCTCTCAAGAGCAACTGTTCAGTCTCATTATTGCTACAAGTCTTTATGAGGTCTGTTAAGTCTTTATTGCTAAATACTAGTCTGGACTCAAATACATCTCAATCACCAGGCATCATTAAACTAATAAATCCCAAGTGTCTTTAGATGCTGGTCTTGTTTGGTTGTTGAAGGTCACAGCAGTGTCCATGTTCAAGCAGCAGAAGCTGAAATGTCTACACTGAAAGATCCATTCAGGTGAGGATCCTAGTCTTTAACACTTCTGTAATTTAACATTCACTAATGATGCTCCACAGATGTATGTGTATCTCATCATAAGCAGGTCCATGGTGTAACAGTAAGTATAGGGGGTCAGTATTTTATATTATATATGTAACTATCCTTCATATAATGAGTCTTTTATTGCTGGTTGAATAAATCTTGTTTCTAAAAAAAAAATAAAAATACTGCATAACAAGTCATTTCGATTGTTTTTGAGAAGTGCTCCATCATCACTGGTGATATGAAGTGCTACTGAAGTGCTGCTGGCTGTGTAGTGTGTTGTTGTGTGCGTTTCCCCTCCTCAGGGTTACCACAGTTTGTCCGTACCTGTGATATTTTATTCTTGACAACTCTGGTGGTGGTTTATGAATGCCTCAAAAATGCCCTACTGTTAGAAGAAAAATGTTCCTCAGCGTATGTTTGGCTGCATATGCGTGAGTTTATGCGTGTATCTGTGTTGGTTTTGGTCTCACAGGTAGGTGGTAGCCTCTCTGTTCTCCCTCTCTCTGGCCTGAGCCACAGCCACATTGATGCACTGCAGCCACTCCTCCGCATGTTTCTCATCCTGAGCTTTCAGCACGTACGTCTTGTTGTCGGTGAAGATCTCAAAGGCCCGCGGCAAACCCCGATCCCGACGCTTCTTAGCTACAACCTGTGGGAAGAAAGAAGAAAAACTAATGGCAAAAAGGAGAAGCAGATAATGACACTGATACTGAGAGATGGTGTTTCTGCAAATATACACTAGTTGTCGTCATTTTTTAAATTTGTTAGTATTTGTTTTCTGGGTGCAGGCTTCTTAAAGATAGACTGTTTCTGACTATGTAACATCTCACCTTGACGCTTTGTACCTTGCTCAGCTCGATAGGTATGTCATCCAGCTCATCTTTCTGTGGGGAAGACAGACAATAAGAGAGATAAAGGTCACAGTGTTGTTTCCAGTATGTACCACTTCAGATCAAACCATTTACAGGATGAACAATTACACCTTATTGTTCTGCTGCTTTTCTGTGGCAGGAAACAAAATCCTTCCTCCCTGCTGAACATCACATCTGTGTTTTACCCCACAAGGTGAAATATTGAATGTGTGTGTTTGCAAATGTGGGGAGGTGTGGTCGTGTGTGTGTATATTGCACCACAGCCGTGTCTTTTCACCCCGTAAGTATTTAGTTATGTGGTTAAAACCACATCACTACAGCTAGCTGCAAGACTCAAGGCAACTGCCCACATCCTTTCTGTGGTGTGTGTGTTGAAAAGCACTGGAGATGACGTGTTCTCAGTTTTACCTCCCAGCTGGCTCTGCTGAGGGTCTTTTTCTCACTGATGATTCATGCCAGTGGATTAATGTACTGAGTCAAATGAACATTTGATTGATTTTAACCATGAACTTACATTTTATCTTATCTACAAACGTTTATTGCATCTGAAAGTTAAGAGGCAATGGTGCTGGAAGAGTATCTTGAGAGATTCTTGTATTTGTGCCTGTAGTTTTTGAGACACCAAAATTATTAGTATTTACATTATTTTGCAATTATATTATTATTCCTTTTCCTACTCTCTTTTTTGCTTATTGGCATTGACACTCATAACAGTGCAACATCACTTGGCTGCTGAACAGAACCATTTTATGTTCTGTCACAATCACATTATTGTTTTTATGGTGTGCATGTTTGGTTTTGTGTCTCTTCAGCTCAGATGAGCTTGTAAACACAAGCTGCAAGATTTCAAACCTTCTCAGAGCAAGTCAACACACCATAAGCAGCAAGCATTTAATGAGTCCATGTAAAAAAATGAAAATAAAACTATATATATTCACTATAATGGATTATCTAATGCAAGCAAGTTGAACATTTGATTGATTTTACTTTATTGAGATACCCCAGCTCCTGTACCATGAGTGCAGTGATAACACACAAACTGAACCATTCATTTTCATATTATTCTTATTTTCTCTCTGTCTAGACTTTTTTCTGTATTCTTAGTATCTGTAGGTCGTGAAAAGTCTTAAACATAATTGAATTCACTCCCCCCCCCTCCAAAAAAGCAATAGAAAGTATCAAAAAGTTTCATTCACGAGTATCTTAAATATTTTTCTTGCCTGCCAGCAGTAACTAGGAAGGTCATGGCTTAAATTAACAAATTATGTTGTTTTCCGTTACTCTTCTTCACTGGTACGACAGTAAAAAGGTACTGAATGTCATTCTCTGTGGTATTACAACATGTCTTAAATAAAAGTCCATATATTTATGTTGGGGAATACCTGTGCACAAGGACTTCCCAAATCGAAGTCAAGGCCTGGATGCAGTTTGGCATCACTCTTTGTCTGGACCCAATTAAGGAGAACGCGCAGTGTTCAGAGGAGGGCACACTGTGGCTTAGCAAGCAAGAAACAGATAAAATATGCATTCTTCTTTTGAACAGATTTCATCCACTAGGTAAACGCTCATAGAAATAAATGGTACAACATTCAAATGCACATCTCATCTTTGTGTGGATTCTGGGAATGTTTCAAACCTCACTATGTTGAAGCTGCTTGATCATTCGATGTGGAGAAAACAACACTTCTTTTTTGGTTCTTAATCTGAGTTCCCAGCTGGGAAAAGGTCTTTCACAACCTATCAACCACCTCCTGAATGTCCTGGCGAAGACAAACTGAGCTTTGAGAACAAAGACACAGAATCTTTCCAATTTGTGGCTGCTTCAAAAAAAGAGGAATCCATTACCATTTGGATGGAAGCACAAAGACTATTGTGTGCAGTAAAAAGAAAAAAGAAAAGAGAGAGCTCAACTCTACTATTCCACACACCTCTCTCTAGTTTTTTTTAGCTGATTGTATAAACATGACCAGAGACCACCCAATCTCCTGTAGGCTGTGAAAATTATTTTAATTATAATTAATTGTTTCACTCTTGGAGATGACTGCTGTAAACCAGGATAACGGCACGGACACACACACAGGTGAAGTAAAATTTCCACACAAGTCAGATTTTCTGACTGAAAATGTTTTTCTTTTATCAGCTGGTTAAAATCAAACTTGACCTCAACATGTTTTTAATTGTACTGTTTTCGCTCCATGTTTTTGTTGATTAAGCAAACTTTTCCTTTGCACAATAATTCTGTCCGGTGACCTCAGCCTTTGTTCAGTCGTACAGTAAGGCAGCGGCAAACACAGCACAGATGGAGGGAAAACTGTGTCGTATTAACCCATAGGGAAATCTCCTCACCTATTCAGTCTTTCTTTCATTCACACATACAAGGCAGTACTTCCTTCTCTGTGTTTGCTACTTGTGCGTAATGAAGTCTGCTTTGAGTTATAGAGGGTGAGAGTGAGTCATGTTGTTGCAGCATCATGCTTAGGCCTTGGGAGTCCCCCAAGAGTCCTTACTGGGGCCAAGGTTTGTTACGGTCAGATTCACCGGATGCTCCTGAGGGACAGTTGAGCTTATCACGAGATGGGATTTCCACTGTTTCATGCAGAATTTCATCATGTTTCAAATGATGTGAAACAAGGAAATATTAATAAGGATTTTATAAGTGAGAGGCCAGGCACAGTGTGCATGTGTGTCCATGTGTGAGTGTGTCTGTGTGTGAGGAGGCTTCATTTTCATTGGCTACGTACTGATTTGCCTCTCCGGAAGAGTAGCTGGTTTCCTGCCAAGGTGAAGTAGCGGGTTTTCCAGCGCTTGATGAACTTCCAGCGGACCTGCTTCTCCTTCAGCTTCCCCTCGATCAGAGGCTGCCCCTCCTGGTTCACCACTTGCGGGCCCCACAAACAATGACAGACACAAAACAGAGAAAGAAAGAGAAAAAAGGTTTCGCTGATTTACATCACATGACTGCTGATTGTTCATGACCAGTTTCTGACAACTGAGACTTGAATGAGTCATTGAACAGCACTTTGTTCAAGAGCTATGGTGCCAAATCTGGCCTGAAAGTTAAAAAATAAGCAAAAAGGTGGTGTGTGAAATAAATAATGTTGTTTGCTTGGCAATCAACCACTTATATTTGTCACTGTGCTAAGTTATCCATCTTCTGCAAGTTGATTTTTATACCATAGGGGAGGCCAGATCCAGCCCATGAGACAATAAGATATATTACATCTGTTTGGCACATTTCTATTCTTCCAATTTTTCCAATTTTGATTTTTTCACTTATTCAATTAAAGTAAAATGAAATAAAATGTAATTTTCTGCCAAGGCTGTAACCTCGGAGTATAAAAAGTCTCCTTTTGAAATGATAAGACAGGAGGACAGACGGCTTCAGTAGAAGAAGACAACAGATTATTTACGTGATTACTTTCTGTGTGTAACGAGAAAGCTGTCATTCTCAAGGAAAACAATCTGAGCTGTATTACCCCTTGGGCCATTTGATTTTGAGACCCCTGTCACAGTGCAAGATAAGAAGAATGCATTCACAAACTGAAAAGATAATGGCATGCATTAGACATGGGCTGGCAGTGACATAGAGTATAATTAATTGATAGTACATGGCTAAATATACCGTACAAAAGCATAGGTATGGTGCATTTCAACTAGAACATGTGGTGAACCCTGAAGAGCTCAGAAGAGCTTCCTCCGAATAAAGTCAGATAACATTTAGCATTTCTACATGTAAAGCACAGCACAGCCACCCAACTGATCTTAGCGTTACATCATTGCCACACAGTTATTTTGTATCTGTTCTGTTCTCAATTTCCTTATCTTAATTTATTTATGTTTCTGTTCCTTTAGTTTTCACTTGTAGTGTTTCTTCCTGAAACACTTTGAACTGCATTTGCATGAAATTGTGCTGATATAAACAAACTTTTGGACTTATTCACTTCCAGTCAACACTAAGGGGTTGTTCAGTTTAAATCAACAACAGCATTTTGTCTCTCTCATATGTGTGTGTGTGTGATAACATAGAGGAGAACTCCCACATAGTCGGGTCTGGACTGTTCTGATTAGAAACACTCACCCACATCAACTTGGACCGAGTTGGATCAAGCACCAATTTCAGTGTGTGTGTGTAACTGCGGTTACATGCACACAGTTTGTCATTCTGATTGAAATCATTTCGATTAAAGATTTCCAGTCAGCTCTTTACATGGAATGTGATTTCATACGGTCTTGTGTTTATATGTGCCCTCGCATTTAATGGGAACAGCTTAGTGAGCTGTGCAACAGTGATGAAGACGTCATGCGGTGGTCAGTGGTTTCTCTAATCTTATCTCTTTGGTACATGACGTCTCAGAACATATCTGTGATTTTATCAATGAGAACAAACTAATTACGCAGAGCAAATGCACAGCTATAATGGAAAAATGCTAAAAATGTAAATAAACAATTTAACTAACCACTCTCCAGCCAGTGGAAGCGTTTGAACCAGTAGCAATTCTTACAGTATCTGTTGTCCGCAGATGCTTTATACTGAATGAAACGAAGCTGTTGTGTCACACGTTACCGAGTGGGGGAGCATTTATAACGCAAGCTATAATTGTGTGTGAGTGTGTTTGAGTGTGACTCCCTTTTTAGTTTAATTAGTAAAAATTAAATTTTGACTGAAGACACTTTAGGGTTCTCACAAACAGGCCTGTTGTGTTCTTTCGCACAGTCTCCTTCCTCTGCTTTCTTCTTTACAGATGCTGACCACCAAACAGAGCCACTCTTTGTTTCCACGACGATGACTAAAGCAGTCGAGAGATTATTGCAATCTGATAGGAGTGTGTGTGAGTGTGTGGGCATGCTGTAACAGATGAATCACAGAGGTACCTGACGCCAAACAGGACAAACCATTAAAGGTCATCAGAGCCCAAAATCAGAGGAGAAGAGAAGAGAGGAGAGGACCCTCTTTGCTGCTTTCCTCTTTCACATCAGTTTCAGTGTTTTGACAGATGGTCATTTTAAGGCATTATTGAGACATTATTTCAAGGTCTGAGAATTTTTAATGGTCATTAAATGGCATACTTTGACATTTTGTACATTAATTGATGAATTGAAATGATTGATTGATTGATTGATTGATTGATTGATTGATTGATTGATTGATTGATTGATTGATGTGATTGAAAAATCATATTAATCGATAATGATCAGAACTGCAGCCATTAACATCATACAGTGCAACATAATAGAGAAAATCTTGCTATGCAGGGCTATAACTGATAACTGATAACCACTAAAATATTTCTTTTAATGGGTCAGTTCACCCAAATTTCACTTATAGCTTGTGATATCCAGGCAATAGTTAGTAGATAGTTTTGGTTTCTGTTGCCCATATATCTGACACTAAGATTTCTGCCTTCACCTTAATACAAAAGGAGGTGAATGTAATTTTGTATGTGATGCTCACGGCATTAAAGTTGTAATAAAAAACTTCCACAATCTCAGCAACTCACAGAACACTGTCAAAATACAATACAATACAATATTCAAAAATACAAGCACAGTAGACCTCCATTGTGGTGAGGCAGAAAACTCAAAACATGGAAAATAAAACCAAAATTATCTCTCGACAATGATGAAGTGCGATAATGTTTTGTGTTCATATGTTTTCTATATTTTACTGATGATTCACTGGGATACCAAACATCTGAGTAAAACATTTGCATTCTTCCCAAATGATTAGTCTGTGTCCTACAGCGAAACCACATTCAGACTTCCTGTTAGCCCGTTTAGAAAGAAACACTGCTCATTTACAACTGGACACACACCCGCCACTATGGGTTGCCAGCTTGTCTGCATCATCCAACAAATATTTCAGTTTTTTGGGTGCAGAGATAAACTTGTCTGGTGCATAAATCAATGTGCCTCGTGGCGTCACCTTGCTTTGATGTAGACACCTGGAAAGTGATCCCTGGATTTGTTGTTAGCCTGAGGCATATGGTGTAGTTCACAACCCCTCGTCTGAGACACGCTGACGTCAAACAATGAGACGAGGATGCAAAACACACACTTGCACACACTGAGTCGCAAACAAATATTGTGCTCGAGCAAGCAAACAAAATGAAGAATGCTTGTGTCCAAAGCTCTCTGGGTGCAATCAGAATGAGCACTTCATTCGGTCAATTGCCGTGTGTCCTCTGTGTTTCTGCTGCATTCACACCTTTATATATTGGTGTGGTCATATGGCCTAGGATATATTTTAGTGCTAAATCTGACAAATCTCTGCCAATAGATGAATCCAACAGCACAATGCAGAATGATCAGTGAGGTAACAAAGAACCTCACAGTAGCAGCTAAAGGTTTAAAGGAATAATTGGAGCTGGTTTACGTCTGTGTTCAACGTAATGCTAAATACACCATGATTTGTGTATGGTAGACTCACAAAACCACTGATCTCCAAAAGAAACATCACTGCACACCTATAGTTTGCTAAAGAGCACTTTCACACTCCACCACGCTACTGACTTTTGAATCTAATATTGAATTGTGTGGGAAGAACATGCTGCACTATGTCTGGTGTAAAAACGGAAATGAATACCAAAATGAAAACACTGTCACAATGGTGAAGTTAAGTGGAGGAAGCATCGTGATTTTGGGTTTTGCATCTTTCAATCCTTCTTTTTCCATCAGCACTGTGGATGTTTAATGTGTGTGTTCAATAACAACATGAAAGATTATTGTGACAAGAGTCAAAACCGAGATCACTACCAGAAACAGCTGTTCCCCCAAACAAGCCTACCTTCATCGTGCCTCATGTTTGTCTTTGTCAATTTGTTTGTCTTTTATAATGAATGAGTGCATGTGTGTGTTTGTTGGTGGTTTGTAGTTTTTGGCTTGAGGATAACGGCAGCAAGATGAGGTGTGAGCAGAACATGGAAATGTGTCCTCAAAGAAAACTATGGGTGCGAACCACAGTTGACAGTACACTCACTCACCCTTGTTAAATATCAATTATAGGAAAAAATGTGGTTGTAAACAAGTTACCCGCCCCCCCGTCCCGTGTTAAATGTCAAGTTTCCCTGTTGAGCGACAGAATTTCATAACTGGAAAAATGCAGAGTCATTACCAAGAGAAAAACTGCTTCTTGTAACATGTCTGGCTTTGCAAAAACATGTTGCAAAATAGATTTAAAGAAAAAAACAATAAAGGAAAGCAGAGACTTTTATTTGGCGTGGTTTGACTATAAAGAGACACAACAAGCAAGATAACTCCTACATTCACATAGAGCACACACAAACACACAGTAACTTGCAATGAAAACATGAGAAGTGGAACAGCAACTCGTAGTTTTCTTTCTGACTGTTCTGAGGCGCAAGAGTCATCCTTTAATTATATGTATTAATAAGTTATCCAAAGGCTGAACTTACTCTATGTATTACACCTGTTTAGGTTTCGCTGATGTGTAGTTTACTAATCTATATTTTTTGGTATTACTTATTGCTAATTAAGCTAGCAATTAGCCACTAACTGTCTGAGGCTAATGTGTTGCTAATGCTACATTCACCCAATGTCAGCAGAATGAAAAGTACCGGAAAAACTTAAGACATTATTCCAAGGTGGTCAGCCCTAGTACTAACTGTAAAGTCACACCAGATAAACAGGGGGCTGAATTCATTTATACTAGAAAACACTAGAACACGGGAAATAATTTCAAAATATTAAAGTAAGACTAAGGATATAAATAAGTGCAGGAATTATTATATTTTTCTTCAGTATACAGCAGATTTATTTAGCTTTTTGTCAAAGTAATGTGAGACTGTTACTGGCAAAGCAGAGACAGAGAAGGAGAAAAGTAGTTAATATCTGACGTGGTCTATCTGGCTGAAATTTTGC